AGAGACAGGTCTTTAGAGAGGGACATTATGCTGGGTAGATTAGGGGGACAGCGCAGGAGGGGAAGACCCTCTATGAGGTGGATTGATTCAGTGACTGGTGTACTCGGGATGGGTGTGTTGGGGGCAATGAGATTGGCACAGGATAGAGCACAGTTTAGAGCTGTTGTACATAGGGTTGCTATGAGTCACAAATGACTCGACGGCACTTAACAACAACAACAAAGAACAACAACAAAGAAATATATACATTATGTATATTGTGTATCTGTATCTGTATATACATCTATCTCTTTTAAAAAAAAGCCCAAATCACAACCATCAAGTTGATTCTGACTATAGTGATGCTCCATTAAGTTCCAAGGCCATAAAGAAGAGATTTCCCGTCTTTCTCCTATAGGTTCAAATCAAGCCCATTTCTACAGTCAATGTGTTTGTCGCTCTGTCATCGGGGTTCTTTCTTTCCTTCTCTGACTCCTCTCTGTCTTTTCAGCATGATGTCCTTTTCCTATGTACATACACATGCACTTATTCAGGAAGCTCTGGTCTCTTAATGATAGGGAATTGTTCTGCCAATCCAAAGGTATGCAGTTTGAATCCACCAGTTGGTCTCCTATTAATTGGTTCTAACTCAGTTGTACATAACAACATGTGCATATATATAATTTATGTTATATTTCATATTTGACTAGATTTATTAAGTTATTAACAAATGATTTTTTTCCTGATAGGTTCTACCTCTCCTGGCATTGTATCAATATTTTGTCTCAGGCATTTGCCAAGACATAGTCAGAAGCCTAGAAGCAAGACTTCTCAAGGTATATTGTGAGCTTTAGGACATCTGATATTCCTAAACTTTTCACAGTATTGTTATACAATTGTTATATTGTACAGCAATAAAATTAATACTCACAACATCATTAATATCACATGCAAGTAAAATCTTACTGATGATTATTCAAAAGTGGCTGGGGCAGCACATTGACAGGGACTCACCAGAAATTCAAGCTGCATTCAGGAGAGGCCATAGAATGAAGGACAGCACTGCTGATGTCAGATAGAACCGAGCTGAAAGCAGCGAACACCAAAAAGATGTTTGCTTCTGCTTTATTGACTATGCAAATGTATTTGATTATCTGGATCATAACAAATTATGAATAACATTCAGAAGAATGGGAATCCTAGAACACGGAATTGTGCTCATGCAAAATCTGTATGTTGACTTCTAAGAAGCAGTTGTTTGGACAGAACAAGGAAACAATGCATGATTTAAAATCAGAAAATATGTGTGTCAGAGTTATATCCTTTCTTCATACCTATTCACCCTGTACTCTGAGCCAATCATTCTCAGCATATAGAAGCTAGAATATGTGAAAAAGAACGTGGCATCACGTTTGAAGGAAGAATCATCAGCAACCTATGCTATCCAGATGACACAGTTTGCTTGCAGAGAGTGAAGACTCAAAGCATTTATTTACTACAGAAAATCAAAGAGTATACACTTTAATATGGATTACTTCTCAACATCAAGAAAACACATTGCTTGTAGAAAGTGAAGACTTTCAGCATTTATTTACTGCAGAAGATCAAAGACTACAGCCTTTAATGTGGATTACATGTCTACATCAAGTAAACAAAACTCATCATGATAGATGGAGGAAAGATTCAAGTTGTCAACTATTTCATTTTACTTGTATTTACAACCAACTACGGCTATGGTTGTTGTTATGTGCTGTTAAGTTTGAACTGACTCCTAGCTGACCCTCCAGCAGATTTTCAGAGGTTGTAAATCACACAGGAGGAGATCACCTAACTTTTCCTGTAGAGCAGCTGGTGGTAGATTCCAGTTGCCTGTCTTTGAGTTGGCAGTACAGCTCTTTACCCACTAGGCCATCAAAGCAGCAGTCAAGAAGCCATGAGACATGTTACATTGGGAAAATCTGGTGTCAAGGACCTTGCCAACAGCAATATAGCAACGATACTCAATGATAAGCTACTAACATAATGAAATGATACTAATAGGGTACTTTCATAGATTTAAAGTATATCTTAATCACTTCGTCAATTATAGAATGAAGTCAGAACAAATTCATAGCTGACTCTCTTTAGTTTTGGAAGGCTGTAAATTGTATGGGAAAAGATTGCCCATCTCTCTCCCTTGGAGTCACCGTTGAATCTGAATTACCACAGAGGCAGCATCTTTCAGTTAGGAGCGGGCTGTAAATCACATGGGAAGAAGTTGCCCATTTTTCTCTCCTGGAGAAGCTGGTGGATTTAAACTTCGAGAAATGTACCCTCTTTGTTTTAGCAGTGTAACTCCCTACTGACCAAGCCACCAGAGCTCAAACCCAGATGAATAGGATATAAAAGGAAGAGAATTGCTCATCAACACAGCAATGTGAAAGATAAAGGAAGAAGAAAGTATTGACTTCTTTCAGGGACAAGCTTGGTTCAATGGAATGGCATGTCAAGGAGGTTTCTGTTGTTGTGTGCCATCAAGTTGGAACTGACCGGTTAGCCTCAGATGCACTTAGTCTCACAGGAGATTGCCGATCCTTCTCCTGTGGAACTGCTGATGGATTTGAACTTTGTGTCTTTGGCATTGAGGTGCAGCTTCTTGTTGCATGGCCACCAGAACTGCTAGAGAGAACACGAAAATACCCAGGATACAAAAGATTTAAATTGAAAATTATGAGAGAGAATGTTGAGCAGTGACAGAAATTAGGAGTGGACTTGGACGCAGATCACAGGTTTAGCCTGGGCTGTTATTCAAGAGGCAAGAAGATTGGCCACCTTATCTCCTTTGTTACAATGACCATTGACAGTATATCAGAAGAAAGTCTAAGAAGGCACTGAAAGATTTATCTGGAACAAAGGTTTACTCGATGACTATTTTTTTATTGGATTGTCAGCATTTGACAGTTGTTTTAATCCTAGAATAGCTCTACAAGTCGCTGAAGTGCTGTGGACTCTATAACGTAGCCTTAAATAGGGAGGTGTCATTAATTATAGAATTTTTGTCAAAGAATGACATGATTGGATGTATCTGATTACAGTGTTGGGAACAGAGTGAAGTAGAAGTGGGATCTTACCAGCATGGTAGAACTGAAAAAGTGCACTAAGATTTTGACAGAATCCACAGAAAGGGGTAGTTGATGGATTGTACAAAAGAAGGTGTGACAGCCCACATGAAGTTTGTCTGTCCTCTATGAAATAAACTAGAATCAGTGAGTGGACAGGGAGAAAGCCTTTGTCAGGAACGAGTAAACAGTGAAGGTTTCTGACAAATCAAACAGGAATAGATCACTCTGTGAAGTTTCTATAAGGCATCCATGTCTTTCAGGAAAAGTTTGAGACCTTTTCACAGTGAGATGGTTTAGCTTCACCTTTGAACAGACAACATTTTGAAAAATATGTTACTCTGCACTAGGATACTGACAATTCAGTATTTGTGTGATTGGAGAATTGATCAGTGGGACATTCAAAGTGCATACAGACACTGTTGAATAAATGCTTAAAGTCATTAATTATTAGAAAGATGTGAAGCCATACAAAAATAAGATACCATCTCACTCCAGCAAAATAGCAATGTTGAATAAGATTTCAGACCACAAACTATGGTGAGAATATGACGTGCTTAGGACTCACTCACACAGAATGTAAAATGATGGAATGTAAAATGATGCAGTCATCATGGAAAGCAGAGTGACATTTTATAAGGTAAGCTATTTGGAACAATAGAAGAAAATAAGTTGAGAATAGAAATGCTGGGGTTTTTTTTCCAAAACAGTAAGAGCTGCAACACAAGCAACATAACTCACAGGCATGGTGATTACAGCACCTCAGCAAAGAGTTGGAAACAACCTGAATTCTTATTAAGGATCATGAAGGGGTAAAGAAATGGTGATTCAGTCACACAGTGGAGTATTACGTGTCACTGAAAAATAATCAGGAATTTGTGAAATACTGTACAACATGGATGACACTAGAAGAAATCATGCTGAGTGACATAAATAAACAAAAAGGACATTTATAGTATAAGACCACTACTACCAGAAGATAAAGAAAGATTTATACACAGAATCAATCTTGGATGGTTGATAAGGGATGAAAAGAGAAGGAGAAGAGAACAAAAATTAATAAGTTTAGCGATGGGAAAGACAATATGCAAGAATAATTTACTAGCCATTAATTACATCAATCATTTGTTCTTCCTGAAGATCAGTAGCTACAGCTTTCAATGTGGGTTACATCTAAACATTAAGAAACCAAAAATCCTCACAACTAGAAACATCCTGATAAATGGTGAAAAGATTGCAGTTGCCCACAATTTTATTTTAACTAAATCCATAAGCAATACTAGTTGCAGCAGCAGTCAAGAAATCAAAAGATATGTTGCATTGACCAAATCAGCTACCTTTTTAAAGTGCTAAAGAGCAAAGAAATCAACTTAAAGACTACGGTGCACCTGATCTAAGCCATGGTATATTAATTTACTTTGTATGCATATAAAAATTGGACAATGAATAAGGAATATTGATGAAGAATTGATGCCTTAGAATTATAGTTTTGGCTGAGAGTATTGAATTGAATATACCATGTTGTTGTTGTTGACTGCTGTCAAGTTGAGCATGACTCATAGCAACCCTATGAACAAAAGGCCTGAAGCCTTTCTGTAACAAACATGGACTGCAAAAATAAATTTTTAAAGTCTTCTTTGGATGAAGTGCACCAAGAATTCTCCTTAGAGGCAAAGATGGTGAAATTTTATCTCATAATTTGAGCATGTTATCAGGAAGGACCAGTCCTTGGAAAAAGACATCATTCTGGGAAAGGTGGAAGGTTAGAAAAGGAGAAGACCCTTAACAAGATGTATTAGCGCAGTGACTGTTTCAACAAGATCAAGGATGTCAGATTATGAGGATGACAAAGGGCACATTTCTGACCTGTTTTCCATAGCATTGCTAAAAGTCTTAGTCAACTGATGGTACAACATATAACAATAACAGCATAAATTCCAATGAGAAGTAACTGCTAAGGAAGTATATAAAAGGTGCTTAATAAGCATATTAGGAGAACCAATGTATTTGAACAGGAATATTTCTCTTCTCCTTAGATCTTTTTAAAATTGAAAGTCTATTTGGATTATATTCAAAATAGTCCAGGTACACGTTTGAGTTAACATTTGATTAAGATTGTTAATCATGTTATCTATGAAAGTAACAGTGTTCATTAGTTATGAGTAAGAAAATGAATACTTCTGTCTATGTTGATAACTGCAGGGTTAATTTCCAAGTTTGTTTAATCCTAGAATATTATAGAACACCAAGATTATTTTGTTGATTTTATTTTTATTTTTTTACAAAAACACCTTAGTTGACCATGGGAACAAAAAGAGAAATATAATGTTTGTAACATTTTCATGCCTATCAGGAAACTTTAGTGTGACTTTGAGGGAAAAAGCAACATCTAATAATTGTTGTCTGTTATAATAAATTGTAAGCTGCTTATTAGTTCTTTATTTAACATAAACTAGTTTATGTACAGAAACATATATTTCTATACATCCATATTTATTAAACATAAATTAATAATGGACTACCAAGAGCAAGTAAAATTTTGGATTTCAAAAGTTGATAGTTTTTTTCTCAAGTTTTCAGTTTTTTTAAAGTGAAGCAAACTATTTCATTTGTATCACCATTAATTTCTTTTTCTTTTATTTATAGATAGAAGTGCTCATAGAGTTGGAATTCTTTTCTGAAGCCTTTTATGAAATATACCAGATTTTACATTGGAAAAATTTACCTGCCACAGCACCTGCTGGCAGTAAAGCTACAGCCAAACTAAAGGTAATCCTGGCTGTTTGGTTCACAGCCATTTCCTGGTTGTGTTACAGGTTAAATGTTGAACTGATAACTAAAAGGTTTGCAGTATGAGCCCACCAACACCTTCACAGGAGAAAGAAGAGACAGTTCATTAAGATACTTAATTGAACAAGACACTTGATGAGGCACTTCTATTAAAATAGGCAGCCTCAGAAAAACCTCTGCTGGGTTGCCATGTGATGGGATCAGTTCAGTGAAAGTGTACTTTTGGCTTGGTTTCCTAAAATGTAAGGAATACCTCCACAAATATATACTTAGATCTCTGAAAACCCAGACCTCTTCATTAAGGTTAGGTGGCCTATTGCTAAGAAGCTTACTGCAATCCCTAAGGTGTGCAGTTCAAGGCCACCAGCTACTCCACAGGAGAAGGATGTGAAATCTCCTCCTGTGTGATTAACTGCCTCTGAAAACCCACTGGAGGGTCAGCTGTAGGTAGGAACCAACTCCATGGTATACAACAATAACAACAACAACAAGGAGGAGGAGGAGGGTCAGAGAAATAGAGAAAGACACGGAGCAAGATGAACTGACACAGTGACTGTAACAATAGGCTTGAGCATATCAGAGATGATGAGGATGGTTCAGGGTAGGGCAGGGTTCAGAGCTGTTGTTCGTAGGGTCATGAATTGTTATGAATGGTTCTCAACTCCGTGGCTCCGAACAACAACAACATAGCTGACATGACACTTTGGGGGTTAGTTGGACTTTGTCCTGTGATTTGAAGTGTGTCCAGGGCAGAGTGCATTTTCGGAGTATTCTTGTTGTTTACCGTCAGGTTAGAACCCACCCTTAGCTTACACTCTGGAAAGTTTTCAAAGACAGTTAATCCCATGAGAAGAGATTGCTCATCTTTCTTCTGTTGAGCAGCCTGTGGAATCAAACTGTGTGCCTTTGGGATTGTAGCACAGCTCCTTACAACTAGGCCACCAGAGCTCCCTACACTCTTGGAGCAGATTTATCCAAATCAATCTGGCTAAGGATGATGTACCAGGCTTTTTGTCATAGTTATGATATATATTTTCATTAGATACTTTTATCACCTTTCAGATTTTTGTTCTAATATTACAGCTTTTGGTTAATGTTCTGAAAAAAATATTTTTTATATATTTTGTAAATACTTTGTATGTAATTTATATCAGAGTTAAGGATGTCTTGTTCAACATTTTGGTCAAGGATTCTGTGAAGAAATCCTGATCAAATGAGGGGAAATGTAGAACAGGGTTTCAAATTCTCATGGATTTTGGACTTCTTGACACTCTTGAAACTTGATGAGTTCCTAAAAATATTACTTTGAGATAATATTTATGCTTTAAATAAAAAATATCCCTACTCACCTGCTGCTATTATATGAATTCTGACCTTCCATTGGCTTTTCAAGGCTGTAATCTTTAAGGATAAAAGCATGTTCATTTTTCTCCCATGGAGTGGCTGGTGGGTTCAAACCCCCTGACCTTTCAGTTAGCAGCCTGACATATCATTCACCATGGCACCAGGGTGCTTTAAAAATATCCTTGGCCCAGATGTAAAAAAAAAAGAAAAAAATATCCTTGAAATTGAATTAAAACCAAACTAATAACTTAGCTTAACTGATTTACAAGTTACTCAACACTGTTTGCTAAAAAGTGACATAGACTTCAAGTGTTTACTGCAGAAAATCAATGATTACAGCCTTCGATAAGGATAAGAAAACAAAAATCCTTACCAATGAATTGATAAGCAACATCATGATGTGCCATCCAGTTGCCTGCAACTCATAACGACTCTACATACAACAGCCCTAAATCATGCTCTATCCTGTGCCAATCTTATTGTCTCTGACACACCTACCCCCATTACCCCAGTCACTTAATCAACCATCTCATTGAGGGTCTTCCTTTCTTGTACTGTTCCTCTACTCTCTCAAGCATGACATCCCTCTCCAAGGACTTGTCCCACCTTGCAACATGTCCAAAATATGTCAAGTGAAACTTCAGAATCTTTGCTTCCAAGGAGCATCCTGGTTTCACCCTCCCTAGGAAAAACTTGTTTGTACTCCTAGCAGTCCATTCAATACTCTTCTCCAGCACCACAGCTCAAAGGCATCAACTCTCCTGTATCCCTAGTCATTGTCCTGCTTCCTGATGCATAGAAAGTAATTGCAAAGATCATGGCCTGGATCAGATGCATGCTAGTCTCCAGACTGACATCATTGCTCTTCAGTACTTTGGAGAGGTCCCTGACAGCAGACTTTACCAGTGCAATTCATCTTTTAATGTTCTGACTGCTGATGTACCAGAAGTGTTGAGCCAAGCAAAATAAAGCTGTTAACAATCTTGGTCTCTTCACCATCTATCATGATGCTTCCAGTTGGCCCAGTGGTGAGAATCTTTGTTTTCTTGATGTTGAACTTCAATCCATATCTAAGGCTGCAGTCCCTGACCCTCTGCAACAATTGCTTCAGGTCCTCCTCACTCTCAGCAAGCAGGGTTGTGTCATTGGCATAATGCAGGTTGTTGATGAGTCTACCTCCAATTCTTATGCCACACTTCTCATAGAGCCCAGCCTCCTGTATAATCTGTTCTGCATATAGATGAAATAGATGTTGAAAATATTGTAATTATCAACAACTTCATGTTACTTGGATCTATAATCAACACCCTGGGAACCAGGAGTCAGGAAATAAGAAAGGTGGCATTGAAAAGTCTGCTGTCAGGGACCTCTCCAAACTAGAGGAACAGTGATGTCAGAGTGAAGACTAAGGCACATCAGATTTAGGTTATGGTCTTTTCAGTCACTTACTATGCATCTGAGAGCTGAGTAATGAATAAAGAAGAGAACTGGACAGTTAATAAGGATGAAAAGAGAAGAATCACAGCCTTTGAGCTGTGATGTTGGAGAAGAGTACGACTATCCCCTGGACTCCCTAAAGAACAAACAGGTATGTTCTGGAGAGGGTGCAGCCAGAGTTCTCTGGAGTCAAGAATGATAAAGCTTAATCTCACATATTTAGGATGTGTTGCTTTAGGAAAGGATATTTCTTGGAAAGGGACATATTTGGAAAGGTGAAGAGTCAGTGAAAGAGAAGAAGACCTCAAACATATAGATTGACACAATGACAGTAGCAATGGGTTCAAATATCTCAGATATGATGTCCCAGAATAGGATAGGGGTCAGAGATTTTGTTCATAGGGTCAAACTTGGGTCACACTTGATTCAGTGTTACCTAAACAACTGTAAAAAAGTGCCATCTCTCTCATCTTTTCTAAAAACAATATAGGCTCAAATTGACAGTGGCAGTGCAAAAGCTTATTCAGACATCTTTGATGACAGCAAATTTGTCTGTGAGGGAGGGACAACTCAGAAAAAGGAGAATGAGAATGGGTCTACAATGCAAAGGAATATAATAAAAGTGACAGTAAGTTGAACCTGTAGAAGTTGTTTTTTGTTAAATGCTGTTGAGTTGGAAAACCCAGCCTCATAGCTGACCCTCCAGTGTGTTTTCAAAAGCTATAAATCAAATAGGAGGAGATTGCCTATCACAGCTCATGGATTCAAACCACCTGCCTTTGGGTTAGAATTACAACTTCTTACCCACTAGGCCCCTAGATCTTCCTAGAAATTGGTCAGTTGGCTTTATTTTGCTGTGTGTATTCTCAACAACAACAAAATACACTTTAAAAAAATCATAGAAAGCCCATATGGCCCACATATTCCACTGCAAAGGACATATCCCTAGGAAAATAGACCTGGGACACAAATGGAAGACTTTTTTTACACTGATATTTATAGCAGTGTTATTCACAATAGCAAGAAAATGGAAAGAGCCCAAATGTCCATCAACAAACGAATGGATTACGAAATTGTATTACATTCACATGAGGGAATACTATACAGCACTCAGTAGCAATGATTAAAACAACAACAACAACAATTATGTAACATGGACAGTCTGGAGAGCATTATGTTGAGTTAACTAACTCAGTCTCATAAGGACAAATACTGTGTAAGACCATTAATGTAAAAATAGATTATTGGGGTGGCCTAGTGGCAAGAAGCTGCACTGCAATCCCAAAGGCATGCAGCTTGAGGCCACAAGCTGCTTTGCAGGAGAAAGATGGGCAATCTCCTCCTGTATGATTAACTGCCTCCGAAAACCTATCAGAGGGTGAGCTATGAGTTGGTACACAACGACAGCAGCAAGTAAGATGTGTACAAAACTTCAAAAAAGAGAAGGGAGGGGAGGATGAGGTTGGGTAAGGAATCATGAGGTTACAGAGTTTAGTGGACAGAGGGTAGAGGTGAAGGACTTAAGAAGGATTTGTTGGGGACCTGAAAAGGTGAGGTAATGGTAGACATGGATCAAAGGTGATCAGTTTTATAAAACACAATATATGGAAGTGATCGTATGAAATACAATGTGAACAGAAAAATGTGTGAAAAATAATTATATAAATGAAACACAATGCACACAAATTTTGTATACAAACCAATATAAAATAAAAATAATTTAATTTAAAAATATATGCAAAAAGAATATTTTTGTTCCCATTTCTCTGATTTCTGAGAGGGAATAATTTTCTTCCATTTTGTCTGGTAGTTTTTGACTTTGTGAGGTAGTTTTACTTAACTTGCTTAATCATAATTTGTAAAGTAGATGATTGAAGCATCATCCTTGACAGCGAGGACTGGAGTCTATATTTAAATTGTAAATTGAGCCAGAATGAGTTATAGTCTCCTCTGTTTCTGTTTTCATGGCAATCTGGGAACCACTGGGTAATCTTGCTTTAGGCAGAGCTTGGACCCGGTGGACCCCATAAAGGAAAGAGGAGAAGGTAGTGAGTCAGTTTGCCTGGGGAGATACTGTGTCAGGAGTGAAACTGACAGACATAACACATGCTGGCTGGATTCAAATTGGGAAGACAAAAAAACACTGGAAAATGACTGTGCTGTATGAAAAATAATTTGCATAAACGGGTACTATATGT